TTATTTTTTGGTCTTTTTGAGACAGGGTCTCCCTATAGCCCCAGCTGGTCTGGAACTCACTATGTAGACCAGGCTGACCTTGAACTCACAGAGATCCACCTGCCTCCGCCTCCCGAGTGCTGACACTAAAGGCATGCACCGCCATGCCCTGCAGTTTTTAAAAATATCTCTTTTACTTAAAAGTTTCTGGGTCAGCAGAGATGGCTCAGGGATTAAGAGCACTGGCTGCTCTTGCAGCCTACCCAGATTCAATTCTCAGCACCCACATGACAGCTAACAGTGGTCTCTGTAATTCTAGTTCCAGGGAATCTGGTGCCCTCTTCTGGCCTCCATGGGCATTGGATGCACGTGATGGCCTCACATATATGCCATAAATAAAATTTTAAGAATTTATTTTTATTTTATGTGTGTGACTATTTTGCCTGCATGTAAGTGCACCTTTGCATGCAATGCTGGATACCCTGGAACTGGAGTTACAGACTGTTGTTAGCTGCCAAGTGAGTGCTGGGAACCAAACCTAAGTCCTCTGCAAGAACAGCCAGTGGTCTTAACGGCCGAGCCATTTCTCCAACCTGAAAAGTTTCCTTTTTACAAACTTAGTTTTTTTTTTAAGTCTTTTTGAGACAGGATCTCCCTGTAGCCCCAGTTGTCCTGGAACTCACTATGTAGACCAGGCTGACCTTGAACTCACAGAGATCTGCCTGCCTCTGCCTTCCAAGTGCTGGGATTAAAGGTGTGCACCACCATTCCCAGCTCCTTTTTACAAACTTAAAAAAAAAAAAATGGTAGGGCCTATGAGATGGCTCAGCAGGTAAAGGCACTTTTTGCTAAGTCTAATGACCTGAGTTCTATCCCTGGAACCCACATGGTAGAAGGAAAGAACCAAGCAAGGTGCCCTCTGACCTCTACACACACATGTTCCCACATACATGTAACACCCCCCCAAAAACAATATGTAATTTAAAAAATAGAACATGTAGAGTACTTGGAGCTGGAGAGATGACTCAGCGTAAGAGCACTGGCTGCTCTTGCAGGTGACCTGGGTTTGGTTCCCAGCACCCACATGGCAGCTAACAACCATCTGTAACTCCAGTTCCAGGGGATCTGATGCCCTCTTCTGACCTCTGTGGGCATTACATGACACGGGTGCCGTTACATACATGCAGGCGATATACTTATATGTCAAATAAATAAAAGAAAATGTAGAGTACATTGTGAAAATGACTCTTACGGGTCTTTTTTCTGTTGATGCCAATTAGTGCCTCTTCATAATGATTTATGTGGATTCTTTGCACATATAATCATGCCTATTTTATTTTGTTCTAAATTTTAAATTTTTTGTATATGGGAAGGTAGGACACAGGCACATGCCACAGCATGTGTGTAGAGGTCAGAGAACAACTTGTGGGAGTTGATTTTCTCCTTCTACCATCCATGTGGGTCCTGAGGATTGAACTCAGATCATCAGGCTTTGTAGCAAGCTCGTTTACTCACTGAGCCTTCTTGCCAGCCCTTGTTTTATTCTAAAAGCCTGTGTCTTGAATATTTTGCATGTCCTAATATATTGTCTAAAATTGCACTTAGTGATTATTATGCACATATATATGTATACACACACACACACACACACACACACACGTGTTTTTGCCCCGCTGTATATAATAGGCCTCTGTAGAGCCAGTGAGGTAGCTCAGTGGGTAAAGGCATTTATCGCCAAACCTGACAACCTGAGTTCCATCCCTGGAGTCCACATGGTGGAAGGAAAGAACTGGCTCCCACAAGTTGTCCTCTGACTTCCACATGCACGCTGTGGCATTCACACACCCACCCACATAAATAA